TTCCTGTATTAGTGACCTGCCACATGTAGGCCTACCCTCCCTAAATTCTTTAGCATCTAGACTCCATCTGGATGTGATAAGCAAATCTCTCCTGCCATCTTCTTTTGAATATGTACAACTTATTTGGAGATCAGCAGATATGTTTTTCAGGGAAACATAATGGCAAACAAATTGTATTGTCTATTAACAGACTAAAAAAACTTCTTAATTGATTGACTTTATTGATTTACTTACTGACAGGTCCATTTTTACAGATATTTGTATATTTAATATTCTGCCAAGGCAGTCAGTCTTACATTACATTATCCACTTGTGACAGATATTTAACTTGTTTAATACTGAAATATCTTTAATACACCTTTTCAAACATGGGTCTGAGACCAGTATCCAGTCACGGAGAAACTCATATGATATGCTGGAATATAACTTATACTGGTTATCTTATACTGTATAAGATATCTTAAACTGTATAAAGATGTTAAAGATTCAAAAATCAGGCGTTTAACAAAAGCACAGCAAAGTAAATCTCTCCAAATATATAAGTAGAGGACTTGTTACAAGAGGTCAAAACAGCATAACTCTACTGAAAAATAGTGCTAACTAACACACCTAACCAGTTAACCAAACCAAAAATGACATATAGGGGAGAACTACACACAAAATAAGTACAAATTAACACCAAGGAACCCCGACCCAGCCCCAATGCTGTCAGAGAGGCTTCACTCTCAGCCTCATCTTTTGTTCAAACCAGGGAGGACAGCACATCAGCCAAGTAACTGAAAAGAAAAGAGAATTAAAAGAATGTAACAGACAACAAACAATGACTAAATAAATACATAGTGTGTACTTAAATCAAAGCTCTAATAAACAAATGGTAAACCAAACAAATAGCCTGTATTATGCTTGTTAAATGACTGCAAATAAACACACACACACACACACACACACACACACACACACACACATATATATTAATCTGCTAGCTGCCCCCCTGACCTGCCTCCAGGTCACTGCAGAGGATTATGTCCATTTCCTGCAAGTAGATAAAGAAGAAGAAACAGTGATTGTACATGTGAGTATATCTCCTTCATATAGGATATTGTGCACACAAAGCACCTAAAGCTGCCTAATGTTTCCCTGAGGCAACAAGCAAATGTCACAGTTTATTAGCCTATATATTAATCTACAAAATGCTCTTAAACATCAGACATTAAACATTTTTAACATACAGCTTTAGGCAGCTTTTTAACATACACTTGCATTATTTGCCACATTGTGTCCAGTGTGGCTCCTCCTGAAATGACTACTTCACCCAGACAAATCCACTCTAGCCCCTCATGTCTCCCAACACATACATGGCTGGTCATATTATATACTTTGATAAGTACATTTTTATTTATCAGAGGGATGTTGGGAGGTCAAAGAAGGTAGCTCTTTGCCTGAGGAGAACACTACCATATAGGGTAATATTTACTTTGATGTCCTCTCTTCTTGCCACAATGTAAAGAGCTAGGACAGAAGAAAGAGATCTAACAAACAGTTTGCTGAAGATTTATATCTGTGATTTTAGAAGCTGTTCTGTTTGGTTCACTTGGCTATACTGCTCCACTCAGTCCCTTAACAGAGCAGACAGGTCTGGTCTGTCTCCAAAATACTTTTGTCATTCCAACCTCACAAACCACTTGCTATGGATTCATAGCCACATGATGGTTTACATTTGAGTTTATTTCCATCTACAGAGCCATTTGGGGGAAACATTCAAATGACCTTAAAAGACTCTACACTGTAGAGTCTAAGTATTCTAACCTTGTAGCAGCAAAAGGGGAAGGATTTAACGTGGCCAAAAAATTCTTATAGCCTTATTTACTAATGGCCACGTTCAGTGCAGCTAAAGTTTGGTTAATTATGTTCCTCATTTTGCCTGTGACTAATGACCCTTGTCTTCTTTTTTCCCAGTACCTCCAACCAATGAGCTCCAGCGCCTCACCACCCAGCCTCTCTTTCAAGCCTCACCAGCCTTCACCAACCTCACTTCAATAAATACCCCTTTTACCCTGTCTTCCGGTCTTGCTTTTGGGTCCACTTAAAAATCTTTAAAGATCATAACAACTATAGGGGAATCACTGAACAAGGAGTGTCTTAAACCTTGTGAGATACTATGGCTGTTATTCCATTATGGTCCATTAATATTTTCTGTATGTATATAACCAAAGGTGTCCTTAGAATTGATTCTGTTGTTTTTGTAAAGAAGACTAAACTCAGCATTAGTTCATGATAAGTTAAATATGATTCTGATGCTGAAAATGTAAAAAGAAAACAGCTAAATTCTTCCGCCCCATCATTCTCAAAAAAGAAATGCTGACTTAAATAGCTGAATATTAGAAATCACAAAAAGGTTGAAGATTGAATGTATTGCAGGGCTGCATTTTCACTGTATTGTTTTCTTTTACTTTAACTTGGTGCAACTAATCCACTTGGGACTATGCAGCACTTTCAATGGCAAGTACCACTCTCCAGCTACTAGGTGGCAGTGTCTACAAATCAGTGGACACAATCCAAGAAGATATTTGTTTTAACAATGTTTCTATATACTTTACAGTTCATTAAAATATTTGCAAATCATAATCTGCCATTCTGGTTTCTCTGAGAAGCTTTGCATTTCCATAATAATTGCAGATCTGAGGTGTCCAACAACTTCACTGTACATGCAATCCTTTTTCAGGTTGTAGCACAAGATCAGAGAGGAGTAGAGCCATGTTAGTAAAAGTGTTTTAAAGATAGAATGCATAAAGAGATTTTTTGAAAAAAAAACAGTAAACATTCTCAGAATTGTATGAGACAGAATTTTGTCAATGATTTGAAGCGTCACTTTTCTTTATTTTCCCTTTATTGAAATAATGAGACCCTTTTACAGTACTGATCTATTAAGTCAGCACAGCGGATACGGGTGAATGTAGAAACCAGTATTCTTGGATGGAATTTTCTCTTCTGCACTTTTACTGCAGGGCTTCCCCAACTATTGAAACAAGTTTTACGTGTATTTACATACTGTATACCTCACACCACTCAAGTTTTATGACAAATGGTTTGCATGTCTCTGTGTCTGGTGGGGGTGGGGCTCATCAGACAGGTGTATTGCTCTTTGTGCAATCCTAAATGGAATTTTATTGACATTGGGACATTTGATGTCTTGTTATATGGATGGTCAGCCTTTTATTTCCTCTTGCCTAATGTTAAATGTGTCCTTTCAGATTAATTAAAATGATTGTCTTTGCACAGGGGGACTTCAGTCTCTCTTTCAAATTTTAAATGAAAGACCTATCTGAAAAGGAGTGGTGCAGGCAATCAATCATCATCTTAACTATCATCACCATACTTTGTATGCTGGTAACCCTGTATTGCATCAGCCACAATATTGTGCAGCAATCAATGATGGGGGGGAATTGTGATATTTAAGTTGAATATTTTGAATTTGGTATACTTTTTCCCTGAGGGAAATTCTTCCCTTTACACATATTTTAGACACGTGCACAAACAGGACCTGTGGACATGCATTAATGGAGAGATATCAGAGTGGGGCCGCTACACACTGCTATGCAGGGAGCACACCAGAGCGGTTTGGGGTTCTGTGCCTTGCTCAATGGCCCTTCGGCAGTACTCGGAAGGTGTCCTGGCACCGCTTCAGCTACCAGACCAACTTCCATATTTTGGTCCAAACCAGGGACCCTCCGGTTCCCAACCCAGGTCCCTAAGGAAAGAGCTACTGCCGCCCCAAGTTAAGGCAAGTTTACGTTAATCACCGTACATGCTAGCAAAACCAACTAAAGTGTACCTGTGTTTCAGTTGTGGAAAATTAATTTCATTGCTTTAGATTCTCTTGTCTCTGAAAGAAAACAGACATTTGAATTGAATGACTGCCTCAACTTGAATTCACTCAGGAACCTCCCCGAAACAATCTCACTGTCGGCTGCCCTAACTTGCATGCGAAGACTTAAGACTTTATTGTCCCCAAGGGGAAATTCTTTTCCACACTGTCCAAACAGACAAGTCCCACCAAAGAACATACATACCCAAAACACAGAGTATAACACAAACAGAGATAGACAAAAAGTCAAGAGTTCCCACTCTGGCCTTTTCAGCGAGGCCTTTTGTTCAGGGCCGCTATAACCGCTAATAAGTGATAAATGCATATTTTAATTGGTGAGATGACATCCCTGCTAAGTTCTCTCAGCTCTGCTCTCTAAATGACCTCAGGAACATCAAGGTTTGTGCATAGGCATTGTTGAGAATTGCTCGTAAAAAAGCAATGTTAATTGCTAATTAAACTGTTAATTAATTGTTCAGTTCAATGGACCCGTTCAGTCACATGAGCTCGATGGTTTCATCAAGAAAGGAGAAAAGAAGAATTTGATTTAAAGAATAATTCAACTTTTTGACATATGAAGACAGATAAAGTCACCTTTTGAGCTGTTCTAGAAATCATAGACCTTTAGATGTGCTGCCTTCACCAAAGAAGGGCAGAGATTGCACAATGCCACTGTAATGCATAACAACACACCTGGCAAGTTCACTGTTGACCATAAAAATATCTAATTTAACACCGAAACACCAAAAAACACATTTAACGCAAAAAGTGCAGAGCAATGGAGTTGCTCATTTTTGTCTTTTTTTTTTTTTTTTTACATTTGTTTAATGTTGATTGTAGTTTCTTTCTGTAATATTACCTATTAATACCTGCAGTAGCAGGGTCTCAAGCCCCCTTTGTATGCCCCTTAATGTGCATGCTGGCTACCACAGTTTACAAATGGGACAGTCCAATAGACCAAAGTAACCGCTCACACCTTCTTTAATGTTTATCTCATTCAAATTAAGTTATTCTGAGACGTCCCTCCCCCCTCACAGGTGTAGTCGTATGTTTCAATCATCCCAGGTGCACTCACTGCCTCCACAACCTGTTGACATTCTTGTCAGTTGATCAGTAACCTGTGGAGCAAACAGAGATGGAATCCAAAAGTAGAAAAAGAGAGCAATGGAGCAGGAAAAGGGAATATATTCTGGCAGCAGCAGGCAATGTGGTGGGCCTGGGCAATGTGTGGAGATTTCCTTACCTGTGCTATAAGAATGGAGGAGGTGAGCTTTGAAACAGTCCTGTAGTATTTGACATAATGGCAACATCATGAGAATAACTAACAGTAAAAGCGTTTTAAATGTTTAACAATGTTTAACTATTGTGCACAGTAAAGGAACTGTTTGAGAATAGCAAATATTCCTCATTACATGTATATTAGGTGCTCATGATCATATATGAACTGCAGACAGTATTCTTGGTAAACACATTGAACTGTTTTTAGATTGTTGTAAAAGAAAAACCGGCAGTGTACACAGTTCAGCTTCCAGTGGACAACTTTATGTAGACAGGGCAACCTTTCAATCAACAAGATCTTCAGGCAAATGTGGCAGGCAGGACTGAAGAAGATCTTGTGAATCAAAACGTTGCCCTTAAGCATAACATATTGGGAGTTCATGATTGAAGACAAAATCAACAAAGGCATTTCAACATGTGGGGGTGACTGTTAAGCCCACTGTTTATCTAAATGAATAAAAGAATCACAATCTGCCCTTCAAGTGCAATATCGGGGGGAATTGCCATGTGTTATAAGGGGTTTCATAAGATTTACCACATACATTGTATTATCTCGCGAGTGTATTCTATTAATACCACAGGAACTCCTTTGTCTCAAAATGAGTCTACTTTCCCAGCGAGCTACAACAACATCTTTGATATCAACAGATTCATGTTAAACTGTGAATTCATATGACATCAATGTTGTCATTAAAACTGAGTCCGCAATACTTCTGCCTAAAAAACAATATCAGGTGAGACAAATTATAATGCAGTACAAGAATAAAAGTGAACTATTACGGCCTCATTTTAAAGTCATGCCAATCATCTAATTCAGATGTATTGTATGTTTAAAGCTTATCATTAATGCCAGTACAATTTTAAATTCAATAGTCTAAGCAATAAGATCAATTTTAGACAGTAAAAGCCTTTAGAACATGAATTATAGCAAGTTAAAAAGTACAGCATTGCTGTTAGAAATGGTTCAAATGTCTGAAAGGTGCAAATATTACAACATTTAGATGGTTTTTAAACTATAAGGAAATATTACAGTGATTATTTATCTCCCATTTTCGGGGTGCAAAACAAAGCATAGTTGTTTTAAGTTTCAATGGGTCATTTGTGTGATGGAGCTGTGGTTATAGAAATTCTATGGGGTTAGTTTGGGCTATCTTAGGGGCCCAGTGTGATGTCTTTGCATGGTCCTGGTGGCGCCCCTGCTTACGTTACTCATTGCTTCTGTCGATTTGAAAGTTTAACCTGACACTGCCGACACATAACTTTGTCTCCATTTTATAGATCAAAATACTGCCGAACTGCGTCTCGCTACAGGATGCCATTCTTCCACTGTCCTGGGGTGCGTTCGAATTGTCCCTCCTATCTCCTTTCACTGTCCACTTTACCTTAACCCCGCGAAAACGTCATGAGGTTAAGGAAAGATGTTAGGAGAATTCATAAAGGATTTAGGGAAAGCCGATCGCGTTGCTATGACAATCCGACCACATTTTCCACTAGGCAACGTCATTAAATGTGACGGGCCGGCGGAGGTTAATGACGTGGGTCTGCCGTGTTGAAACTACAATGTTCAGAAAATGGACTACAAAAAATGCATCTAAAAACTTTCCCCTGTGCCTTCTTACCGGTGAAATAATCCTGATTACCACAAGGTTGGGATTGAAATAAGAGCAATATAGACTACCAGGCTACAAGTAAGAAAAGTGAAACCATCAGCTTCCTGTCCAATCAGAAATCAACATCAACATAAATATGATTGTATGAAATTAATTGTTACATTTATGTAAGATATAACCTACACGTAATGTTTTAAACATACAAATGTACAACTGCACAGCATTCTTAAGAGAATGAAATATGTTGAATAAAACATCATCTGATAAAAATGTCTCTTATCTTTTATCTCTTTCATGATCTGTGTCACTTTACGATCATCGCTAATTTCCGTGAACAGTCGGATGCGCGACTCGCTTTAAATGTTGCAGCCGCAAGGAATTGTGGGGCGTCATATTTCATCTCCTTTCGTAAAGGATGGTCCAGTGTATCCTATGCTAAAGGAGGTTATAAAGGAAGCATTGACCCACCTTTCCTTAACTTTTAGAGAATTCGAACGGCTCTTATCATGGCCGCCACTTAAATGCTTCCGGGGTTAAGGTAAAGTGGATAGTGAAAGGAGATAGGAGGGACAATTCGAACGCACCCCTGCATTTTAATTTGGGGTCATAGTGCATTAGCCACTGACCGCAGCTAGAGCCCCAACTAGTGGTGGGTGGCTACAGTACATAACATTTGATGGCTGTGGTGCACTTGACATTTCAGTGTGGAAGCAAACCGATCCAAATTCAACAATGTTGCAACTTCACCCCTGAATCGTATGAAGTCCACCAAGCTTCATATGAAAAATTTACAAAACAAGTATGCCCTTGACTTATACTTGGCAGATAATAACTATTAGAGGCATTCCTGCATTGGATGAAACACAGTCACTTTTCTCTGTTTAATAGAGCTCATTTGTCTTCATCCCTGTAGAGTCAGTATTCTCTGTTGTATCTTTGTTTTTTGTCATTGCAGGGGTTTTCCTGTTGCCTTACTGCATCTTTGCTGTGCTGTTAGGCATGCCACTCTTCCTGCTTGAGACTGTGATTGGTCAGTACACACAGGAGGGCGCTATCACCTGCTGGACCAAGCTCTGCCCCCTGGCAAAAGGTAATCACATCATTCCTGGTTAATTCCCCTCGAACAAAGACATTTTCCAGATGCTGTGAGATCAATTTCCTATACTGTATTTCAGAAAAGTGGAAGCAGTCTCTTTCTGTCCCCCTTTCATCTTTGTTAATTATCTAGCCACAGACTAATAAAAAAAACTTTTAGTCACTGTACCATCCAGAAATACTTACAGCTACCAGAAACTTTTCAGGTGGAGATTTCTCAAGTGTTACTTGATGATTTGATTTCATGAATCAGTCAACACAACATAAATGTCAATAATAGAATGTTTAACATTCAATTTATTTTACTAGCTCTCTTCTCTTAATGCACTCCAGGCAGTCTTTTAGTTCTTTATGATGTAACCTGTGTGTTGCACAACAGGGTAGATTATGTTGAATCTGTTAGTATATAGAATTATTCACATTTAATGTTGTAGTGAGAATGTGTGATGGTGCATGTTGGAACATACTGCAACACAGACTTTAGACCAGGTTTTAAGTGGTCTACAATGTAGTCATTTTTTTGTGTCCTTGAAACAGGGACTCGCATCTTTTACGCCTGACAACACATCACTTTAAGGCAAATACACCCCTGGGCGCTTACGTGGTGATAATGTATATGCTATTTCAACAATGCGAGTGCTAGGCATAAAAAAGACACCTGCACTGCGCGCCAAGCATCTTTGCATCTGGCGTACAATAAGGCCCTTAGGATAGGGTGCCACTGCAGTTCAGACAAACATAAGTGAGCAACATGTTATTTTGAGTAAACAGCATTTATGATATATGTCTTTTAAGATGTTAATGGTCACAATGACTGTTCTGTGTTTTTTTCTCTAAAACCAGAGCGCAAATCCTTAAGAATACCATGATGTGATAAAAAAAAAAAAGAAAAAAAGAAATTAAATTATGCACGTAATGAATGCTAAAGGTACACTTTGGTGTTTTTGTAGAGAAATGTGAAAGTTGGAGAAGTTTACAGATTATTTGGTATATGTTCATAACTCTTTACACAAACTGTCCTCAGAGGAACATTTGGTCCCTGGAACACTGTTTGAACATAATTTTCTAAGCAAGAAGTTACGGTGGAGGGCCTGCAACAGTGAAACTGTAACTCTCCTGGTAGCTTTTTAACTCCAAACAGTGTTCAGGGATCCTTTTTTTTCCTTTGAATAAAGTTTGTGTATATTTAGTTCAGAAAATATAGCATAGAATTGTTTCACTTCTCCAACTTTGAAATGTTACTACCAAATCTATATAGTGCGCCTTTAACTGAGGAACACATAAGTAGCTATGGGGATTGCATCCTCGTAAAGCCGACCTGAAAAACCGACCTGAAAAACCTTTATACCTGTCAAGGCCAATGAGGCTGTCCGGGGCCAGGGAAGTCCCACCATCTCTTGTGGCAAAAGAAAAGACCCATGGACACACTTTGTTTATCAATCTAGAGCAAGTTCCAAATATGCAGTTCTGAAAATTTCAAGAAAATGACTGTGAAATATTTTGTGCTGTACTGGACTCAGATAAACATACACTTATCTATGATAGCATAATGCCATTAGTGGTTATTAGTCTTCCCCGTAGTGTCCACATGCTTACTTCTTATTACGTTCTGTAGAATACACAACATTTGGCATGCGTGACAGGGCAGTAGTACGGGTATCTGTAAGGTACATTTTAAAGGTTTATTCTTGGGCTTGTTATGCCTTTATTTAGATATAGGAGGACACTGGATAAAGTCAGAAATCTGGGAGAGAGAGCATGGGGAATTACATGAAGGGCCACAGATCATATGGAACCTGGGCCGCCTGCTTGAGGACTACAGCCTCCATAAACAGGGCGCTTGTACACACCACTAGGCTACCTGCACCCCATCTGTGAGGTACATTAAACATAAAATCTTTCTGAGTCTATTGTTAACACATACACCTCAAAGACTATCCATGATGGATGAGTGGGCGGGAATGGGGTTCTGAAGAGGCAAGGCATGACAAAAAAAAGAACAACACAGAAGTGGCAGACAAAGCAAGAGAGTCAGCTATACGATGCTATAATGAAATGTTCGACACAATATACACAAAAGAACACAATGGGGATCAGAAAACATTATGAAGCATGGTTATTATATGCAAGACCATCACACTGGTAGCATGCATACAGTCTGTGGTAGTAGGCAGGGTGGTTATAAACTTCACCAACCCCTTCTGCTCGCTTGCATTGAATTTTCTTGAGTTTTTCCTGCTTAGTTCTCACATCAGCTCACCTTGTCTTCACCAGTGGGCGCGCACTGTAGCTGTTCCCACTCAACGTTCTTGAAGCCAAAATACGCCGCTTAGGGGCGCTTCCATCTTGCGATTTTGACGTCATTTGGAGCCAGAGTCTGCGCAGTAGGGTCCAGGGGCAGGAGCCCTGGTAACACGCCCCGCCCACTTAGCGTACTGCCCTGATGACTTACGCAGCCCAGCTACGCCGAAAGCGCTCTGCCGGTCTACGATGAAGAAATGTGTAAGTACAACAGAGGTCAGGCTGGGGTTGCATAGTTTTAAGGAACCTCCTCCAGATGCCCTGCTCATCCACTGTGGTAGAAGTGACCTTACACCAGCATCTCTCCCAGATGAAGAGTCCTCTCTGCCATCACCCAGAGGAGCTGATCGACGTCTGAAGAAGGTGGACAGAGTCTGGTGCTTTGTGACAGTGAACAGTGAGAAGGCTACCATAGTCATCCTCAGATAAAACACAGAGATCCTGGTCAATATTTAATTTATTTTTCTTTCCATGATGTTGCCCTGTGTTTGAAAGGCCAGATGCTGGAGGGTTGTGCTGGATTTGCTTTTCCATCATATTTTAACAGTCAAACAATCATCCAGGATCTCTTTACTTTATTTGATTTTTCTTTGGATTTCTTTGTTAAATTATTTTTTATACTTTCTCCTATGTCCCAACAATTGGACCTGATGGTCTCCCTTACTTATTTTTCACATGGTTAACGAAGCCAGGGGTTGTTTATTGAAGATTTCTTTTCATAAAATGTTTAAATAAACTTTTTAACAATCTGACATGACTGTCTCTGATTAACTGGAGTACAACACTGCCCACGTGCTATTTGAGAGCACAGATTGTTTCTTTTCCCTTCTCTCTGTTTGCCTGTACATGACCTTTTAGTGCTGTAAAAGATGCTACAGTAAATCCTGGATCAGCTGTGCGGATGGTGTGACTGTGTGGTAAAGCTTTGTTAAAGTTGTCACGCACATACTCATATGCCTTTGGAGAGTAAAAGTGCAGTGTGGTGGCAAACTGCTTATAAAATATAAAATAGTATTTTATTGGTGAGGTGCCCCAATCAAAGCGTCCTACAGAGTATCAGCAGCTTTAGAGGGAGGAGACGAGAGCATTGTGGAGAGGAGCGCACCGGAGGGGGCGAGCTGGGGGAGAGACGAGCGACCAGAGAAAAAGGAAACCCCTGTTTAAAATATAATGTTGGTGAAAAGAGGGAAATAGGACGACATAAATGTCAATGTTGAAATTCTTTTGAATACAGAGGCTGTGAATGTTCAGCTTTCTTTGGCTATAAAAAGGCAACAATAGCCTGTAGTTTAATCATGGTGTTTCTCTTCGTTAACGATTATTGAAGCGAAATCAAAAATAAATGCATGACATTTAAAACATATTAACATGTGTGGGGAAAAACGTGATCTTTATGTCTTTTTTATTGTGCCTGTGTCTCCTCCTAACTACAATAACAGCAGCCTGTTGTGTGTAACACTGGTCTCCTGCATTAACACCTTCCTTTCAAAGGTGTTAAATACAGATACGGTCACAATCAATTCAATTCAATTCAGTTCAATTTATTTTGTATAGCGTCAACTCATAACAAGTGTTATCTCAAGACACTTTACAAAAAGCAGGTAAAATACCTTACTCTTTGTCTGTTAACATTACAAAAGAGCAGGTAAAAAGACCTTACTCATTGTTATGTTACAAAAAGCAGGTAAAATACCTTACTTATTGCTATATTACAAAGACCCGGCCTATCCATCATGAGCACTTTCAATCACTACAATTTTTGTCAGGTTTTGTCAATTTTTAGAACAATTTCTCAATGAGCGTCATAAATTTACAATATGATCAACTTGTGACTAATGCAGAATATTCATCACGTTTAAGCAGCATGATGCTCGGTTAATATTACATTACACCGGTTGTTGATGTTTGTGTTCACGTTTCGGTTAGTCTCTTAAATCAGTAACAATTATATTAAATCAGAGCTTACCTTTAGTTTTATCTGGATACATAGAGAAATATTCTACTCTCGTATATAATATTATGAATTTCAGCCCGCACGGTGAAAGTAAAACCTGTTACTCTCGATATAGTCCACTTATCACTCAGACTGTAAACATGTACACATTAGTAATGATGCAGGCCAGATTTAAATTATGTGACTTTGTTTTTGCCTTAGATACTTTTTTGAGACCTTACCAGACGTTTTTATTTTTACTGTAAAATAACTGTACAGTCAATGAACCGCATCTATAAGCGGATTTTATATTACGATTCTTGGTTTTAAATACAATTTCAATCACAATAATGATATAACAATATCAAGAAACATAGCATGTCAGTTATTAGGTTTGCTCATTTAATAAAATAAAATAAAAAGATAAATCATGCCGGATAAGTAACCTAGCTTTACAACATTTCAGCTAACTTTAGACTGCTTATGTGTTAGCTAGCTAGATAATGACTTTAACCAAACAATGACACATAAATCATTTTTACTTACCGAAAAAACTGCAAAGATCCCTTAGCTCCCACAGGTCGGTTAGAACAGTTTACTGCAGAACAACTCATTTTGCCAGCTCAAAAAAGACGAAAAAACTGAACGGAAAAATTCAATGGCGTCCCAGCTTTCCTTCACTACGTAACTTTTGCTATTCACAAAGAGAGCTACACAAGATCGGCGGCTGTCAATCATTGTCAAATATGACGTAAAATCCCGTTTTTCAACCTCAAATTACTTATTTAAAACAAACTTCACAGAAAAATGAAAAATGAGCACTTGAACACAATGTAGGGTGATAATAACTAATGATCACAGCAGAGTTTAGGTTTGGAAAAAAATCATGTGACGAGTATTTTAGCTTTACAGTTTGACCCACATCCCTTCTGTTATCATTGAGGAGGCGGGGTTTATGACCTATACTGCAGCCAGTCAGCAGGGGGAGCTCTAAAAATAAAAGCTTCATTAGAGCGGGGACCTTGTCCCGTCCATTATTTTCACAGTCTATGGTCTTCACACAGAAAATGCACTAGGGAGTTGACAGGGTCAAGTCAGAGTGGAAAATGTGGCGATAGCGTTCACACATGCAGCTCAGCCCGAAAATTTTCAGGAAGTTTTCAGTATTTTTGTGCAAGTGTGAAAGTACTATAGTTGAGGGGAAGTGCGAAAAGGTTGACAGAGACTAAGTGTAGTCTATTGTAGCCCAAGGGAAAGGTGGGACTTCGCTGGCCTGCAACTGTGACATTGGACATGTGTTTTTATAAAGGTTCTTCAGGTTGATCTCGCGAGGATGTTCAAGTACCAAGTGTATGGCACAAAAAAGGAAGTTTAAATATGGGCCTTTCATTGCTTTGGGAGGATGGATCAAATTTGTCAAATTAAGTCAAATGAATGCCTAAACATTAAAAAGTATTTTTTTTTTAATGCTATTCCTTCAGGGACTGGCTATGCAATCATGGTGATCCAGCTTTATTCCAGATTCTACATCATTATCCTGGCATGGGCCCTACTGTACCTCATAAACTGTTTCAGAGACCCTCTACCCTGGGCCACTTGCAACAATCCCTGGAACACAGGTCAGTATGTGATGAGGTTTGTGGATGTAAAAAAAGAAACATATGTAGAACTCATTCAGAACTTTCACCTTCTTTTAGACACTTTATCACTATCTCAGATTTTCAATTACATGCTACTGACTGCATTAAAACGAATCCGTTAGCAATGGCCTCTTTCTTCCCCTGTGGTGTTAAATATTATTCCACAAGAATATAGTTTAATAGTTGGCCAGTTAGAAGTCAGATCAGGCATCCACCTGTAGCTCCTCTTAGCTGCTTCTAAAGCTAGAATGGCTTGGTAACTGTCTGAAGCAGGAATATCCCTGATAACTAGCATCAATCCAACTTTGGATGTTGGGGTACTCTCAAAATCTGACCGAGTTTAAATGTGGACAAATGTCATGACTAGTGGAACCAGGAGGCAAAGTTACAGTCTATAACAAGGCCTACATCACAGTTAAGAAAAGATACAATCCAAACTACCATAGAGACTGTTTAAGGTGTCTTAACACTGAATCCAGGTTAAGTAGAGAGATTGATTGGGACAACAAATGCAGAGATCTTTTGTTACTTTTTTTGATGACATTGGTTGATGGCATGACAAGAATTATGTGCCAGTGGCAGCAAAAGAGTTTTTCCCTGGAGGGAAGAGGTAGAATGTATCACACCGTTACTCAAGAGGGTAGAGCAAGAAGCTGCTTAGAAAATGATAGGGAACCTCAGAAGAGTCCAGGAGACCAGTTTACAGATGACATACACATGAAACAAAAATGAGAAACACTGTATGCGGACCACACATACATTGCTTTATAGCACTTTAGGAGGTAAAGAACTGAAGGATATGTTGATTTTATGCAATATCTACCTAATGCTCTGTCCAAAAGACTGCACAATTAATTTAGGAAGATTTCAACGTAATGAATGTGATCAATTTCCTTCCCTATCTAAAGACCTTTGTGTTGACCTCACCTCTGCAAACAACACTGAAGTACACGGTGGCAACTTGACCGGAAACTGGACATCTAGAAATATCACCAAGTCTTCAGTCTCTGAGTTCTGGGAGTGAGTTATTGATAAATAAATGAGGAATTAACATGTTGTGTTTGGTTACAGCAATACATCAAGTACAAATTGTGTTCTGTTTTTGTTAAAACTGAAATTCTGTTTCTGTGCAACCGATAAAGGAGAGGAGTGTTATCCATGTCTGGTGGAATAGAAGATGTTGGCTCAGTTAAGTGGGAGCTGCTGCTGTGTCTCCTGGCCTGCTGGGTTGCCTGCTACTTCTGCGTCTGGAAAGGTGTCCACTCTACAGGAAAGGTCTGTGAAAAAGGGTGTGGAGATTCAGGGTCCAAACATATTTCCTTTAAATAAGGTTCATAGTATAACCCTCTCTTTTCAGGGTAAGGTGGCCCAGTTGGGACCCGTTGTGCTCCCACAGGAGCCCCCCCCCGTTTCATTGGCATGTCTATTTCTGGCCCACATGTAGTTTCTTCTGGATGGCCCTTGTCAGCCATGTCTGAGCCCATAACAAGTTGAAGCCCAGCCAGTGTTCAGTTTAAGATGTCAGCTCATTGGCAGTATAACTCACTATAGCACAGCCGATCTGCCTAACTTCTTCAGAAACCAATTTCTGCAGAGAGGGTCTTATCAAAGTTAACTTTTTTGGTCATTTATGATAGAATATTTACTATCACGGTAAACTATTTCAGAGTGTTTAAAACAAAAACCCACTAACACTGACCTTTCAGGTGGTGTATTTCACAGCTGTGTTTCCATACGTGACACTGGCCATCCTGCTGGTCAGGGGTTTGACGCTGCCAGGAGCCTGGCAGGGTGTGGTCTACTACTTGTATCCAGATCCGTCTCGCCTGGCAGACCTCCAGGTGATACAAGTTTGACAAAATATGCTGCTTATAATTCATTTGAGGAGAAGCATTTGGAGAGTGTAAAGTTTTGTTTTCACTGTTGAACGACAAATATGCCTAGGGGGAATGGGTATAGTGACAACGGACAAAGTTTTATTTCTTGTTTGGTCATCAGGTTTGGATGGAGGCTGCCGCCCAGGTCCTTTTCTCCTATGGTGTTGCATCAGGAACCATAATCACACTTGGCAGCTACAACAAAGTCAAGAACAACTGCTACAGGTGGGCTATAATTAAGAATAATTAACTTGATTGTGAAGGGAGTTCTCTGGAATTTTACACAGCTCAGTCACATCTCGTTTTATGTGATAGCCTCGATAAAACAGTGGGTCATGTCCCCACCTGCTGTTTCACCAAGCATAAATATCCCAAATCATTAAAATCCCAATCAATAAACAACAAACGTTAAAAACATATAAAAGGTAAAAGCTAGTGAACAGAAGGAATCCTGCTATCAGGGGACCTGAAAAAGATAAAATTACTTTAAAAAATAAGATGTTCAAGTCAATATAATACAAAGTATGTGTAATAGGAGTAGGACGAACTGTATCATTGTGCAGGATGATACAGGATGGCTTTTAGTGTTAAAATCTATCTTAGAGTATAGAGTTAAATTAGTGTGCATATTATCTTAGTTCCAGTGAGCATTAATGTAACACTAAAATCTGAATGAAAGGCAGAACATTTATATAATGTTAATTGACTATTGCAGACTCTAATAGCTTCAAAAATTGTGCATTTGTTTCCCCTATCTGCTCTTCATCAGTGTCTTATTCACAAAGCATATAGCGCTAATGATGTTCAGGTGCAAACACGGCCATAAAATGATCCTGCTCCGCACAGTTTACTCTTGTTTTGTGTCTGAACGTGGAGAAAAGTGGACTGCACCTTAGCTCTGCGTTTCTGGGCTGGGTGCTTGTGTGTTTCCCCCGGCTAATAACAGCTGTGTGTATGTGTGTGTGTGTGTGTGTGTGTGTGTGTGTGTGTGTGTGTGTGTGTGTGTGTGTGTGTGTGTGTGTGTGTGTGTGTGTGTGTGTGTGTGTGTTTGTGTATGTGTGTATGCAGGGACAGTCTGTGGTTGTGCATGCTCAACAGCAGCACCAGCTTTGTTGCTGGTTTTGCAGTCTTCTCAGCTCTGGGTTACATGGCCCACAAACAGGAAGTTCCAATCAACATGGTGGTGGAATCAGGTACGATTCAAAGGCACATCAAAAGAAATAATAATAAACTAGATAAATGAAGAGGACAACATTTAAAATGCCTCCTTCTGTCCTGACAGGGCCTGGGCTGGCATTCATTGCTTATCCTCAGGCTGTAGCCATGATGCCCCTGCCTCAGCTGTGGGCAGCCTGTTTCTTTGTTATGCTCATTCTTTTGGGACTGGACACACTGGTAAGAAGTAATCACACATCATAATGACGGTGTCCAGCAAATCTATTTGATACATACATCTATGCTGTAAAAACCATATCTGTTAGGCTTTTGTTGTCCTGCTTCACTCTGATTGGCTTGGCTGTTTACAGCTTCAAATGCAGTCATGTTTTGGCAAAATGTGTAAATTGATCAGCGCACGTTCGCAATCGGTCCCCATTCTTCTTTTGCAATGTTTTACAATAAGTGAACAATTTTACAGTACAAATCATACCAGCTACATGGAGTGACAGTAAAGGCCGACCAGGGTCTTTAATCTGCATATTTGATATAACAACAAAGTGATTCTCCTCTCTGTCTGTTTGCATTGTGTTAGTTTGCAGGTTTGGAAACTATAACTTCATCAGTGATTGACATGTTCCCAGAACAAATGCGCAAACCGTGGCGCAGAGAAATCTTCCTCATGTTCTTCTGTTCTGCTGGCTTTATTATACAGATCTCCCTCACCACTCAGGTACCACACATGCCTGTGTACCCTTACCTTCACTCACAAGCTTACATTTCTCATTAGAGGAATATTGGTATTTGTGTTTGTTTTGTGTTGTCCAGGGTGGAGTGTATCTGTTCCAACTGATCGACTACTATGCAGCAAATGGAGCATGTATATTATTTGTGTCTTTTGTCCAGTGTATGGCTGTTGGCTGGGCCTTTGGTAAGTAATGTAAAAAATGTAATCCTGTAAATTAACAGTTGTAATAGTTATTTCAAGATATCTTTATCATAAAGAACCAGGATCTGATGATGATTTTCATATTTGATAATTGCTTCACTGAGCACCAGCCAACTTCTGAATTAAAATGTGCTCATTATGTAAAAAAGATCAGGAGGACATCAGCTTCCTGGAAATACTCAATGGAACTAAAACAGTGGTGCCACTTCTTTGCAGTTGGAGTAAAGGTGGCAAGTCACACTTGAAACCACAATATCCTACAGGGATACGACTCTTTCAAGCAGATCTAGGCTCTGTCACGCAGCTGCAGGCCAACTCAAGCTTATGTTTGCTTTAAGATCACAAACATTAACCCGTGTGACAAGACAAACCTGCCCGGTCAGATTATTTTGTAAGAAAGATTCTTTGATACTGTTTTACTTTTAAAGCTAACAGAGGTAGGAGGTCTTTAAACATCAAACAACATTAAGCAACACAGGTATTGGGAGCTATTGTTAGCTAACATAGATACAAAGATCCACATGGTAATAATTGAAGTACCAGTGATACAGGTCCAGGTCCAAAAAGGTGCTTAAAAATAGAAAATGAGGGCTATTTACAGCAATCTAAAATAGGCCACTTTAAGGATTATGTAAAAAATTAAATAAAATGAGAGCTGCAGCTTTGGAGCGTTAGCAAATGTTAAGACCTAGTATCGAGTTTATGAGCCCGACTTATGAGCACATAAAGTTGTGAGTACGAGTAGGAGTTGTGTTGTTTGACTGAAACCCCAGGAGAGGCAACACAAATAGAGAATGCTAACAAGCCTAATCTTAGCAATAAAGCTATCTAGCTAGGCAAATATGAGCTATTATAATGCTATTTAAGCTTATTAACATATTCAAACTTCAACCTCACCCTAATGTGTATTCAATTTCTGAATTCGGCCACTGACTCACGAAGGAGCTCTGTGCTACTTGTTTTTAGGTTATTAAATATCAGCTACGGAAAAACAACCTTATTTTTTTGTTGCTTTTTTTCCCACCAAAGCACTTGAATGCGTGTATGTCGTCATACGACTGCACAACTGGGAAGCTCGATATGTCCGAGGAGCAGGTGAAGGCAGCATTAAATCAGGAGGTCCTGCCCTCATAATGTGATACTGATCAACTGTCATTAACATGCAGGGGCTGAACAGATGTGCGATGCAGTTAAAGAAATGACGGGACAGAGACCATCTATTATTTTTCATCTGTGTTGGCGTTACTTCACCCCTCTAATCTGCATGGTGAGTAATAAGTCAAAAATCTGTCTGAATAAAAGCAGTGAAAATTAAGGTTCAGCAATAATAAAACAGTAAGATGGGTTTTTTCTTGGTTGTATTTACCTTACCAGAGGTACTATTTTTTTCTACTTTTGCTTCAAGGTTTGCTTCATCTGCTCCTTCCTGGACTATCAACCACTGAAATCCAGTGGGGGTCATGCGTACCCAGACTGGGCCTACTATCTGGGCTGGTGCATGGCTCTGTCCTCTGTGATTGCAGTACCTATCTGGGCTATCTACAAGATCTTCCTCACCCAGGGCACCCTCAGACAGGTAGCACTACCACACCCTGTATGTATGCACAGTTATGTCATTTAAACTGTCATCACTCAAATATGAATTATATTCATTTGATTATGATTCTGTGTTCCTATTGGGTGTGTCTTGTCCTCGACAGCGTCTGACGGTACTGTGGCATCCTGTTAAGGATCTGGTTAGTCCCAAGACAAACAAAGAACATCTTCTGGATGAAACAGAACTAATAAATATGACAGCACCTGTCCTAGATAAATTACTAACCTGAAAGGTACTTCTGAGTTTGTCTGAGCATGTTATGTAAAGACAAACTTTGGCCCCAGACTCAATGTTGCTGACTGAAGAACATACTTGTTAAAAATAAGTGATGTTTGTAAATGAAATGTTGAATACTAATTACTTGTAACGTGAAGCTGTTTTAATTTTCTAATTGTTTTAATAATTAGATTCAAGAATAACCCCTGGTATAGGACTCCAGATTACCCCCCGGAGGGGGAATAACTGTGAACTCCCCTCGCTAGGATGTTAGGTGTGTATGGGATGTATATTAAAAGTCAGTAGAAGTGTGCCGTGGTGTGACTGTCAAGCTTACCTTCCGAGGTTCACGGGGTCCTTAAGGGAGACTCCGGTCTTTGTGGTGTGAATGATTTCAGTCAGAAAATGATTTCAAAAAGTTTCCAAAAAAATGTATTCAAATACAAAAACTTCAAATGATATTCCAAATGAAAATACAAAACAGTAAAAGACCAAAGCCAAAGTAAACCCGAGAGTGTAGACACTTGAGGTTTTAAAAGATCTTGGTCTCAGAGACCAAGTTCCAAGATGGGAAGTCAGAGTGACGTGGATTCATTTAGCAAAGCAAAAAAGAACCTCGATCAGATTTTCTACAGGGTTTTTATAACCAAAAAGTATCTCTTTTTTCAAGATCCTGTAACACCTCAACAATGCACGTTCGCAGAAACGTGATGCATCCATAGGTCATACCAAGTTCATAGCATAGGTAATACCAGGTTCATATGTGGTTTTAGCTCGAAGACCGTGAACCGAGTTCGAGTTTTGGCTTCAATGTATGGCACACTTATCTTGACCTCGCAGGTGTGTAGGCACTACGAGTGTGTGTAAGTTTAACAGGAAATGTTGAAAGCAGAAAAGGGTTATGACTTTATGACCTATGTATTAAATGATAAAATAATTAAATGATAATAAAAGAAAAAGACAAAAACAAATTCAACAATTGCATAACTCTTTCTGATCTTTCAACAAATGTTACAATTCACTTAGCAGACGCTTTTATCTAAAGTGATGTACATCAGAGAGTACTAATCCCATTAATACACCGCCACTGAAGCAGTGGGAGCAATGTGGGGTTAAGTGTCTTGCCCAAGGACACATCAGACATGTTGCTCAGCTGGGGATTGAACCCTTGACCTTCCGCTTGAGAAGTGATGTCTCTACCAACTGAGCCACAGCCACCCAAGGGGAGGAGCATAAAACTAAATATTGAAAAAGAAAGACAGAAAGTTAAATAAAGAAAATAATGTAGAATATGTATGACACATTCTTTACATGCAAGTGGACTTCAGCTTGTATGGATATGCGCAAGACGTCAAGGTGGGCAGAGAATTGGGCTTGGAGCCAGCGCGTGGCAGAAAGCACACTGGTGTCAGGAATCATTTAAAGGCAGGGTTGGTAATTTTCGAAAACTAGCATGATTTTGAAAGTAGCATTCCCTCAGTGCTTTGTCTTCACCCACCTCTGTGCTCCCTCAAAAGCCACGCCCCTCACTTACATGCACGAGCACCATTGGTTCCAGAAGCGGACCTCAGCTCATGCTTTGAGTGAGAGCTCGTGCATGCATGGAGTAGAGAACGAGCAACGAGACAGGGAGGCTGTGATTGGTTCATCAGATTGGTACCTCGTAGCAGATATTGGTGGAAGTTTTTACAGGCTTACAACTGATACAGATGACGGATTTTCTTCGTTCCTTTTACAGAGCACATGAGTTATTAATGTCTGTCAGGACCTTAAGACAATTTCAAACAAAATCTTAAAAAGTGTATCTGGAGAAAATTATCAACTCTGCCTTTAAGGCACTTATTTAAAATGGCTTTAAATAAGTTGAGCAGCGGTTGACACAGAATAACGTTGTTACACATTACTGAAGGCTAAAATTAAAACAACCAAGTAGATCACTGAAAAACGTAGAAACAACTGATCTCTACAGTCTGACTTTGAAGTCTATTCAGTTTCACATCCATGATTGAACCTTGCTCATGTGTGTTGTGCTCTGCTTTGTGTAGGCTATATGGGCTTTGAAATCAGGTTACCCGATTTCTGCCCGAATGTAATATCAACAATCCACCATGTCTAAAGTAAATAGTTAGGATCTCTGTCAAGTCCATATGTCCCAAATTTAAGCAGATATTTGCATGTTTGCATGTTTTACTCCCGTACTCGTTGTGTCTCCTACTAAGGGCAGCAGTGTCTAAGAATGTTTTGCCACTTTGTCAGACCAGGGGGGCATGGTCAGGAGGGAAATACACTCTGTAAAATATTGTCATCTTTATGTTGAATATAAAATATGTAAAATATAAAAAGAAAATACACTCTACAGCACTTTTCTAGTCTTCTGACTTCTCAAAGTGCTTTTTACACTACATTTGACATTCACCCATTCGTACACATTCACACACTGCTGATGCAACAGGACTAATTTGGGGTTTATGAATCTAGCACGATGCAATTTGACATTCCTCTGAAGTAGAAGGGGACGGAAAACCTGTCCTTCTGGTTGGGAGACAAACAACTCCATACAAATACCCTCCAGGATGCTTGTATTTGCAACTGACAGGCTAAAATTTATTTTCAAATTGTCTGGGTAAACACAGAACGTTAGAATTTTTTGTTGCAGTAAGTTGCCATTGATGTTACTAGCTCAAACCCAACAGCTTTTTTGCAATCATGTGATCCGCTAAAGTCACAAAGGGGACAGGAAATGAAGAACACCAGTTCAGAATTGTTGGGATTTGAGTAAAGTGAATACACTAAAACTGTGAATGGACCTGCATGCAGCAGGTATCATCAGAAAATGTATAGACACATTGGATTTTATCCCTACACTCTAAACGAGTTGACCGATTTGCCTGACGATCAATAACACAAATTGCTTAGCCCTGCAGACCTCCACTACATGGCTAGCCAAATGAAGGCGTACAAAAGTCTTAAGGCTTTGAATCAAAGTCAGCATTGAATTACTGCCCTCTTGCTTTTACTGGAATTAGTATGTTTACTTAGGAATCGTTGTTTTTATACTGCTATTTCAACTCTAAAATAACTTTACATGGATGGATGCCACACTAGCATCAGGCTTTGCATAATATTGCCAGTGTGTCACGCATCACAATTCAGTAAATTTACAACAGTCAGGAAAAACCAGAAGTTTAACGCACAGCAAACAACAATACATACACACAGCTGAACAGGTCTGTGCGCATTGCGCAGCACCAACAACAAAACATATCCAAACATGAACAATATTTAAACCTGCAAGAAATTCTCAGGGCTAATAAGCTTCTTTCTCAGTGATTTCAGGCGAACAATGCAGCCGCTTCAATTCATTAAACCATACAGGTGTATGACCAAACATTTCTGTGCCAAAGTGACTCCAAGAAAAAACAACATTTTTGGAGTAGTTGGAGAGTGGGCTCTTCAGGGCTTTTACTACATTTTTCATCTGCAATCTCTGAGGCAAAACCATTGGCAAAACGAAAGCTAGGTGTAGGTGAAAAAAGCCAGACCAGCGCTGAATGCTATCCTGAAGACATAGGGTCTTCTTTTGTGCACTTTTGAGAAGGTGTTGGTTTACAACAGAAATCCCAAACTTGTTTTTGTGTCATTGTGATAGCTAACTACTTACAACATTAGCTGCTAGGTGACAAGTCTTACCGTTGACCATGAAGCATAGAGATATTTTAATATGAACAATTATCCCAAATTGCTATGACAATTTCTCAAACATTCCACAATCATTCACTTTTTATGTGAATTACAAAAGAAGAATTTAAAAAAAAATGTTTTAATGTTATATATATCTTGTATCCAGAGAAGATTATTTGATGTCTGCCTTAACCGACAGCATCCTCAGCACCCCTACTTCTACTACTACTATAGTTTAACATAATGGCTAATAATTGAATCATTTAGCCTATGGAAAAAAATCATATGATTTTAACTCCTGGAAACACAATGTTGAGCTAGAATCTATTATAAAAAATAATTTCACCTGGTCCATATATTCCTACTTAACGAATTAGTTTAATTTTATTGTGTGACTTTGAATTACCTCAACAAAAGGTATTTCCTTTTAATAACAGCGTCATACACTTTGAATTACATTTCAGTGCTGCAGTCTTGATCTGAGGTGATGCTCTGCCGCCCTCTAGTGATAGGTTACTTCCCTGCTCTTCAGTTTCGTTTTTTCTTCTGAAAAGCGGAAGTGGCGACCTTTGTTCCGGACACATGGTGCAGGATGGGCGTGCCCAGGGCGCTGATGTAAACACAAAGTACGCCTCATCCCCGACGGGTAAGTGACTGGAGCGAATTGGCGAGATTAACCCAAATAGCAGTGGTTGTCGGGGAAAACGCTCCGTCGCCCGTTGTGTATAATATGCTTTAAGGCACGGAAAGGCGACGTCATGGACTTCTACATCAATCTGAAGGTGAATTTCAGGGGAAATTCCAAAAATTTCCTCCTGTCGGGATCTGAGACCAAGAGCTGGGAGTCAATGGAGGCAATGGTAAGAGGGGAGAATCACCGGGCCCGTTCACAAACACCACCGATCACAACACACCGTCGGGCTGAGGCTTCCTGCATCCTGTTCTTATACACTCGTTCAGGTGTACTAATTGTAAATGATGACATCAATGTGCCACATCCGAGCGATGTGTTAACCCTTAAGTGAATAGCCTACTGCCATTAATATGCACTGCTATAGCCTAGCATCATGCTCATGTCCCGTGAGCTGAAAGAGTAAAGCTGGGAAAGCTTTCATTAGACTGACAGCAGTCAGTGCAGTGTCACCGAGGACACACCGCTGTCCCTACAGGCTTAGTATACGCTACTGCTTTGTCGTGATGGGAAATATAAACACTCTACCAACTCGAATAACAAC